CCATTCCCGAATGGACGAGAAATAAAAGACAGATGCGTTGCCAATGAAGCATAAGTTTTTTCAACTAACATTAACAGGGAAGTCTATTTCTTCTACTCTCTCAAATCTATTTGTTTATTCTTACTAACATCTCCAAACGCTTCTTTCGCTTTTCTTACCTCATTTATATAATCGTACTACTTATGCATGCCAAAATGTTTTCCGAAAATTATTCCATGCTGCCAGCTCACTTCATCAGTAATTTGCATAACAGTCTGGTTTGAGTAACTTAACAGATGGTCATTGTTTCCTGATAAAACTTTTTAAAATTTAGCAAACCAATTACTAACCTGCGGTTTGAACAGGGTTTGCTAAATTTTTGCATAATCTCTATAGGATGCTATGATTGCGGTTTATGTTGTCGTGATTGAGTAATAATGAAAATAGTTTTTCTAGCACTTAATATTTTTGCTGTAAAAGTGAGATTATAGATGGATATATGCTTCAAATTAAAATGTTGGATGATTATGAGCTTTCGGTTATCGTTGTAATTACTTTCATAATCATCGTTCATTCTCCTTGTTAAGAGAAATTAATGCAAATTAAAATAATTACTAATAATATTAGTAATATATTAAGTTGCATATTTTAATGACCCAGTATTCGACTTCATATTATTTACTTAATCTGTCACTTACACATTAGTTAATTGGAATCATTTTAATAATAAATCATCAAATTATGTATGAATATTGTGAAGTTTGTAAATAATTTTACAGTAAAATATAGATTCTTTGATTAGCTTAGTTGTTGCGAAGATGGCAAGTGTTATGTAGTTATTTAACAAAATTTTGTTTACAAACAACAAAGTTTGGAAATCACAACAACAACAAATTAGAGTAACTAAGTTTGGTTGAATTACAAATTTTATTCGGTACTAATTAAACTCTTCGGTTGCAGTTCCGTAATAGATGTGATGGAAATGATATCACAGAAAGAAAAGCGGTAAAGTTTAAAAGCTTAAAATCTGAATCGAAAATGATGAATAAAAGAGTAAACAACAAATAAAAACATTTTATTTGAGACCTCTATCATAACATCTCATAAGCTAATACATTTCATTGAATATTTGCAATATTTCTATCATTTCGCTTCTTTGTTTTTCCCTTTCAAAGTGGAAATATTGATAAACAATTTGATTTCGAACCATATTTTATCTCCTATGATAAGATAGGATTGAAGTTATCGTTGACTCAAAAATGAACAACAAGTGCTATCCCATAGTGTCGCAAATTTTTTGCAAAAATAAATCTTCGTTAAAAATTTTGCAAGAGAAAGAAACGATGATGATGATGATGATGATGATGATGATGATGATGATGATGATTTATTAAGATTTCCTTGTATGCCGCGGTTGTTTTGATATAAAAGAATTTTTTTCTCTTCAAAAGTTAAAAGAAATCAGTCCCAAATACTGGTTGTCAAGAAGGTAGGCACTTGTAAACAACAAGTGCTATTCCATAATGTTGCAAATTTTTTACAAAAATAAGTCTTCGTTAAAAGCTATGTAAGAGGTAGAAATGATTTATTAAGATTTACCTGCATGTCACGGTTGTTTTGATGAAAAAAATTTTTTTTTCTTCATTAAAATTGAAAGAAGAAGAAATTAACCTTGAATACTGGTTGGCAGGAAAGTATGCTTTAGTATGTATATATCTATTCTTTCCATTATATTTATATATATCACCGGAGCTGAAAATGAAAATAGCATCAGCTTTATCGTTATTTCTTAATCTTGATTATGTTGTCAATTTATCTGTCTTTAATTTTATTTATCAATTTTAGCATTTATATGGAATTTATTAAATTCTTCAGCTTTTCACCTTTCTGAGAGAGAAAGAAGAAAAAGAGAGAGAGTTGAAGCATGAAATAAACATCATTTTACAATTTCTCTTAAAATCCTATCCTTAATTATTAATTGAAAATTTAAATAATTCTTACAGATATTTACTTCAATGTAAAATTTCGCAAGAAGTTCTATTAGCTTTCCTTATTTTATTATATATTTTTCTTGTTTACTGTATATTTTACGCAGATAAACGATATCGATTACAGTACTTTCTTTTTTCTTGCGTCGAAATATATAATATAATTTATCAATTATATTATGATTATGTTATTTTATCGAGGAAGATTAATTTCTAGAGTTAAAAAGAAAAATTACCTGTCTGTGTATTTATGCAGAAAGTATGATTATTATATCAAGTGGAGATAGGCCAGATACTTCTACGACACATATAGGACTTCTTATACCTAAGTATAGATAAAAGTAACTTTTGTGACTGAACACTTCGCTCACTAAAATTATTTAAACCATCGAAAAAAGCCATTTGGTCATTCATAGCATTGGGAATAAAACGGTTGGTCAGTTTTAAAGAAATTACTAAATTCTGAGTTAAACTTCTGCCTTACTTACTCATTGTTGTAATTGTTTTCTTTCGTTTCGTTTAAATTTCTGGTTTTGTGTTTTCATGATTTTTAGTGAAACCAGCTGTCGAAATAAACTAGAAATTTCCTTTTCTAACTAGAATAGCTTGTCGAAATTATTGTCATTATTATTTATTTATTATTATTAGTATTTATTAATAATAATTATTATTATTTATTGTTGTTGTTATTGTGGTTGTTACTATTACTGTTGTTATTGTTATTATGCTCTTTAGAACTAGCTTTTAGGCATAAATAACATTTTATTATTTTTACTTCAAAAATAATTCTTTTATATTTCAAACTAGTTAGTCGTCGCCTGTTTTGTCCTGCATAAATTGTTGTCGTGTATTTTCAGCTGTTACTCTATAACTGCACAATTTCAATTTATCTTACTCTAAAAATTATTATCTTATTTACTGAAACAATAGATACATTATTATTTGAAACCTATTTTCATACCAAATAATGGTTTCATCGTGTTACATTTAGAAGATCTAAATTTAAAGAAATGAAAAATTATTGTTGTAATGAAAAATTCTAAAATAAATCACAACTACTACTTGATTAGTTACAGTATAATTTCATTTGGCTAGACAAGACTAAACGGAATATAGTAAATTATAATAAACGAAAAGAGGGTAATTCTGTTCGGATTAATGGAATACTGTTTATTTGTTTAGGAAGATCATAAATTGTCGAAATAACCTGATATAACCGGCTCATTTCAATCTTGTCCTTCTTCATTGAGCTCAGCTCAATTGTACTGTTTGATAGCTGTCACTGTAAACGAAACAAACCTCAATTCTCATATCAAATTTTCCTATTTGTCAATTCTTTTTATTGGTCTTCGATTCTATTATCACGAATACTATTCATTGTTGATTCAGTTAATTAAACAAACTTCAAAAGAGAGTAACATTTTGCGCCTTCTCTTCTTCTTCTTCATTGTTCAATTTATTACAGTTAAATTTAGTATATTTAAGCAAGCTGTCAGATTTTCTTAATTTAAATAATACAGCCATTTTTATTAAGAGATCTTCGATTTCTTCGTGTTGAATTCATTCCTCTTATTCATTTATCGATTTATCAAACTTCTGGAGGTTTTCGTAAGATTTTATATGAGTAACTTACCTTCTTATTTATAACTATTAAACATGATAAATCGATTTTCGAGAATTTAATTTATATATATAAATAAATATTCTGAAATTTGATTTCTATAAATTAATTTTCTTTCCTCTTTTCATATTACTAATAATGAAGTAAATGTGCTTTAAATCATTAATTAATTAATTGTAACTATTTAATTTGATAAATCGATTTTCGAAAATTTAATTTATAAATAAATAAATGTTGCGAAATTTGATTTTATAAATTAGTTTTCTTTTCTCTTCTCATATTACTAATGAAAAAGTAAATGTGCTTTAAATCATTAATTAATTAATTAATTAATTGGCGCGGGAATATACCGGGTCTTGTAATGAATAATATGAAAAGAGAAAAAGAAAACAAAAAATGATGAGTTTAGAGAAAAGTAATTCATAATGAATAAAAACTAAAATAAAATTAGTTTATAATAATTATCATTCTCTAATTATTATTTTTAGACAATTACCAGTTTATAATCATCTTTTTATGCATATTGTTTTCATTGGTAGCAAACAATTATTACATTTGATTTTTAATTTTGTAATAATTCAATTCTCTTCAAATTTATTAATTAAAAAATTAACAAAGCCTAACTTTGTTAATTTTTTAATTATTTTAATAAATGAAAAATTTGATTTTAAAGAAAATGAAATTTTTGAAGATCAAAAAGTTATAGGAAAGTTTGTTTGCTTTCCTCAAGCAATAAAAAAAGGTGCGCTTTCAAATAAATAATTCGGATCAGTTATAAATCGACGATTTTCCGTTTATTCCTTTCTTAATCGGAAAAAATTCTGTTTCGTCGAAGAAATCTATTGGATTACTGATTGCATTCTGCATATGCAATCTTTTAGATCCCACTTAATGAAAAGGTAATGTGATTTAATTAAGGTAATAGAATAAAATGTATTAACTTTGAATTAGTTACTATGTTAGCTAATCTATGAAATATTTTATCAAAAATGAATAGATTTATAGTTGGACAAAGAAAATTTTACTCATTTCTTTTTTTTTTAAAATAATATATCTTACCTTAATTTATTCAAAATTTATAATTTTTATTTCTCTTTTAATTAGCTAAAATTAAAATTAATTTCTTACCTTTCAACGCTATATGCTTTTTTCTATTTCAATAAATTTCACTTGAAAATCTCTCCATATTATTACCAGTTTTTAAATAACATTTTTATTATAACTTATCTGGTTGTATTCAATTAAGTTGTAATTTACAAAATTTAGTTTGTATGTTAATCTTTAGAAACAACAATTACTAATCAATACATCATATCCGATAACAATTTATTGTTATCTTGGAACACCCGATCAATCGTGGAGATTGGAAGAAAGAACAAAAAAATTGTTCCTTCATTAAATGATATGTGATTATGACAAATATCGCCAAGAAAGTAAAGAAGCTTGCAACGGTACAGCTGTACAATCTTAAAGTACTACTAAATGGTACTTTTCTTCTATTTTGATTTTCTTTCTTTTGTAATAACAAAAATTTTTAATTAAAGATTAAATGAAAATATTTTATAATTAAATGAATTTTATTTTATAATTGGATGAGTGTATTCTTTGGTGAAACTAAGAAAACAACGAAATATCGTGGCGGATCGTTAATTTCAATCCAATTAAATCGATATATATTAGTTAGAAGAAACTTATTAACGAGTAAATATATGAATTGATTTTCATTGATAACAAATCTTAGTAACATTTTCAAAATTCTAGGTCGTGGTTTGTCAAATTTCAAGAAACGCTACAAACTTAAAGGAGAACTTGGTCGTGGTGGTTTCGGAATCGTTTATCGCGGAATTCGGATTTCTGATGAACTTCCTGTTGCTATTAAATTCATTGATCGAGATCAAGTTCGCAATTGGGGAAAGGTAATATTTGTCTTTATCAATCCATGTATTCAAACTAAAATTGTTAAATTTTAGCATTAATCAGATTGAAAATAATATCCATTTCAGTTAGAAGATGAACGATTACCAATGGAAATTTGCATGTTAGCACGATGTGTTAATGTACCGGGAGTGATCAAATTACTGGATTGGTACAGTATGCCAGAAGGTTTCTTGATTGTAATGACACGTCCGTATCCATGCGTTGACCTCTTCGATTTTATCAAAAGTCATAAGAAATTAGATGAAAATGTAAGTTTAACAATTATGAATGAAAAAAATAGTGAGTGGTGGTTGGTTGGTTGATTGGTTCTTTTTTGGAATGTATTTTTGAAAAATCGATTTGCAACGAAATGATATGTTAAAATTGAAATTTTCAACAATTGTCATTCTGTTTAACAGTATAAGAATGTGAAGATAAGCTTACAATGCTATAAAATGCTAAGAAGATTCAAAATTAATTTCAAATTAAAAATCTTAATTTATTAAAATTTTTTTCAGCTTACACGATTTTTATTTCGACAAATAGCTCTGACTATTCGCGATTGCGATCAACAAAAAGTATTACATCGTGATCTCAAGGTTTGTATCGGATACTGTTTTTTATAAAGATATGAACAGAGAAAGTGGTGGGAAAAAATTATTACTATTTTTTCTTCTAATTGTTTCTTTGTAATAATTTTTCAAAAATACATTCATCTTCAATGTATTTTTGATAATACTAATTTACAACTCAAATATAATTGTTGAAAGTTCAGTAGAAATAACGGGACGTATCACAGGTAAACAGTATGATGAGCAGGTAAGCATCAAAAAACTACTCATTAATATTGCTATATGAACTAGAGTACACCAAAGAACTATCTGTTTTTGCAGTGAAAAACTTTTACAGAATTTTTTTTTTACGAAAAATTTTTGAATTAATTTGAACGAAATCTTTAAATGAATAGTTGCAGGACGAAAATATAGTAATTGATTTAGTGAACGGTGAAACATTTTTGGTTGATTTTGGTGCTGCAACTCTACTGACGAAAAATAGCTACACTGATTTCCAGGGTATTTGTTTATTAAAGTGATATGTTGTCCAAATTAATTTAGAAAATTTCACTTTCACAAAACAACAGTTTCAAGATGAATTCCTTATTATCTATTACTTCGGATATTTCCTTCATCATAATATTATGAAATATATTCCTAGAAGATGTTAGTTAGCTAATATAAGGTCACTATATAAATTCAAATGGAATAAACTTTAGTAGCCTAATCAATCAGATAGTGATAATGAAGTGAATTATCAGAGAGCTAGAATGACCTCAACAATCATAGTATTTAAGTCATTTAACGGAAATTGTCACATCTTTCAGGAACTCGTTTATATTGTCCACCCGAATGGTTTTTGCATTCAGTATATTTGGGCCGCGAAGCAGCGGTCTGGTCATTAGGTGTTCTTCTCTATAATATGCTCAACGGGAGTTTGCCATTTCGTAATGAAAAGGAGATTTGTACATCACATCTACTAGGACCATTACCATTCTATAAAGAAATTAGCAAAAGTAAGTCTAGAAGTAAAGTAAGCACTTTAAGTAAAACATTTGCGTTAAGTAAAACAACTTCGTTTTTTATTTCAAAATTTTTTTAATTTATATGTTTTTGTTTTTAAATTACATTTCAATTTATTTTTCGTTAATTTGTTTAAATTAAAAAGTCGATAAAAATCCTTAACTATTAATGTATAATTCCATTTCAGTTAACTTCCATCTCATTTAATGAAATCAAATCTCGAAGGGATTTCTTTTGCAATTTTCGGAAATTTTGAAAGTGAAAATTACCTTTCTTTAGGTGCTAAGGATTTAATCAATCAATGTTTACACTTTGAACCGAATAAACGATGTAGCTTGGATACAATCCTAAAGCATTCATGGATACGAGCTCCATGTGCTGACTGGTGTACACTGATAGATCGGGTATATCAGCAAAATTCACCTGACGACCAACAATGTGATACTATCTGCGCGGATCGCATATCGATGGAACAGGTAGAATCAAGGTAAACTTTACATTTTATTGTTGAACAAACATATTTATGATAATTTTTTGTTAAATTAAAAAACATCGGTATATAAAAGTGACGATGCATAAATGCATGTTTATGTGTTTACGCCATTTATATAATTCCTTGATGCATTGATTGATTTTATTTAAGAAAGATATTTTTGTTATGCATAATCATGTTGACGGGTTTCAGTTATGCTGAGTCAGGTGTCGGTAGCACATCTAGTTTCAACTCATCTGCGTCATTATCATTCACGACATGTTATCGTCGAGGTGAACCAGGAGTATGTGGTATGGTTGCCGGACCGTCAGCGTATCATGGTTATCAACATCGTGGTAGAATTCAAGTTTGTCAATCAAAAACTTCATTAATTGGTGATTCTCCTTCACCAGTGAACAGCCAAGACTTTATGAAGATGGTTTATCTACAGCAGAATATTCCCAGCGGTCGAACGAATAAAGCACATTCCATTAATCATCTAACCATTTTTGCTCCCCGGTTTACTTTTTCACATATTCCAAATCCGGAAGATAGTAACTGGACACTATCTCGTGTTTTGAAACCTTTAACTAGGAAGAAACGTTCCATCGATTCCGGACATCAATCGACGCATTTATCACCAACACCAATACCACCAAAACCATCCAGCCATGATAGCTTTAATGGAAGAACACGTGGAGTACTGGCATTTTAATATTTCGTTTCATTTTCAGCGTAACTCTATGTCTTTGTATATGCATTCTCATTGTATGTTTTAAATAGATATTTTGATTTAGTTTGAAGATTTGATTAGGATAATTGCCAGGTGTTAAAAGATTGAATTCATAAAACAATACCAACTAGCCAGTAAAGTTCCATAAACGATCATTTCTGGAAAATATTTTCTTTCTTCTTATTTTGATTCATAGGCGATTAAAAAGAGTGACAGATCACTTTCAATGGATTTTCAATGAATGTACATCCTTTCTCGCACTATCGATTAGTAAATTACTTCAATACTACAAAATTATTTATGAGAAGTAATGAAATCATTGATTATTTAACTGATTAACTGATTGTTACTACTATTGTTCTTCTTCGACGCTTATCATTTTTCCTTATGATAGATATTTCATCATGGGAAAGCATATGATATTATGAAATGAACAATTTTATTGTGACATTTCACAACACTTATTAATCACTTCTTGCAGTGCGAATTGGACCACTTATATTACTTAAACAAATTGAAATTCGTTGCATTTAAACCAATTTTTTGACTTTAACTTTTGAATGAAAAATTTGCAATCCCAATCTAGATAGCACAAAAGGCACCACCACTGCAAACCTTTAGTCGAAAAGCCTCATCAAAATCATTCCTATGTGCAAGACACTTCCGTCACACTTTAATCCTCAGAATAGTAAACCTAAAATGGTAATAAGCAATTCAAATGAAGAGGTGATTTGTTGGGTAGTTGTTCGCCTACCGTGTACTCTCGTTTCAAGAAAGCTGCTAAATGTTATAACAAAATTTATTTCAAATTCAATTCAAATCAAATCAGGGCATTATAATTAGGCACATTCACTAACAAACTTTAAGAGATAAAGGCAACAGTTCCTTAAAATAGACAAAAATGTTAGGCAAAGACGATTGCACTCGCCCACTAATGACAATTTCAGAACAAATCCCAGAAATTTTGGAAAAATGGTCATTATATGGCCACTTATGGAAGACATCCACAGTAACGATCTTACAAAAAAATAGAAAAATGATCGATATTTTTTAAAGCATTTTCTTAATAATGATGCATGCTGTATAACATTCGCAAATGTGCCTAATTGCAATTAGGCGTGACACATAACGCATGAAGTGATAACAGCCATTTTATCTTAGTGTGCAACATAATTTGCAGCTGCATAATAGGACTAAAATGTATTTAGCAGCTGCGAAAGAAAAAAAAAAGCAAAATGCGCTTTGCAGCAAATAGAAAAACAATATTTAACAAAAGTGAATCTGACTTAATAAGGACCTTACACTGCATGAAAAACATTAGGCCATCAGAACAATAACTTGAGCAACTGATATGATTGATATGAAGGAGCAAAAAGTGATGTATCTTCAGTTTTTAAATTACTTTTACTAACATTTTCAATCAGCATTTGGTAAAGTATGGAATGCTAAAGCGAAAGTCCTAATTAACAATCGATCCGTCGCAACATCAACTCCTCTGAAATGAGTACAAAAATCTCACAGATATTTTCATTTTCATGATTCATAAATGCTTAACCAAACAATATAAATCTATATATCGCCTTTGCGAAAACAATGAATAATGATTTGGGTATAGCGATATTCTGTATTAGATACAGCGGATGAGTTACAAGAAATTGTTTTAGTTTTGAAATGCTCTTGAAAAGTAATGAAATAATAGATATAAGGATTAAAGACGTTGAAAAAGCTCGTTATATGTGAGGTTAAAAATTTTCTAAGACATATTTAACAAATGGCGGCAGGTGATATGGCTTAAAAGCATATGATAGATCCAATAAACCGTTCCATAAATAATAACAAAAATGAGAAAAGCCTGATTAAACCACAAAATGTCTTCAAATATTAAAGAACTATGGAAAGGCGGAAAAAATGTCATAAGTCTTCGTGCAATCTTCTGAAGATTCATATCGGCTAGAATAAGGTCTTCTGATTGATGTTCCAAGCGGGTCTACTGACTAACATACTGCACCATGTAGAGAGATAGAGTTTCTCCAATTCTGTAACCGTAAACACAAATAAGTGCATTAGAAAATAGCAAGATTTATTTCTCACAAAAATATATAAAAGAATGCAACAAAGTCACTGAAATAAACAAAAGCATCTAACACTTGTAGTCTAAAAAAGCTATAATGCTAGAGAGATAACTGGCTAATGAGTGGGACAAATCAGGTAATGGGCAATATGTGAAGTTATTGTTGCAATAACAGGTTAATGAAATATGAAAATTGCTCAGAGGAGCAATAGCAAAAAAACAAATGTAAAAATTATTATTTTGTAGACAAATGGTATTATCATGAAAAACCAAACTTAAGAGAACGTAAATGCATTTGGACGAATGATTACTGATAACATATTACCTGTCATGCACATTATTATCCCTGTTCCTGAACAATATCCAGGAGGTATTCTGGTGATAGATCATGATCACCCGTTTTAATTTCCAGCAATCGTTTCAAATAACCGCTCTGAGGTAATTGATAAGTAGGATCCAGTACATCTACGAATTGCTAAAAAAAACTCGTACATATGGTGTTAACGATGTCTTCATAGTTCCGGAGATCATACGCCATTTCTCAAACAGTATCGCGTTAAAGGAATGGCGTAGAAATATAAAATAGTGATTGCCAGGACTACAAAAATTTTTAGGTAGGAAAAAATTCTAAATAAATGAACTCTTTGAAGGGTTGGTATGTATATTATTGCAAAAAAAAAATTCATTTTGCGAAACACGCTATTTATGCTGCCAACAACCAATGGAAACTGTTACGAGCGGATGGTTTTCGGTAAGAAAAACTACTCCCTGAAAGAAATAGTGCTAAAATGTAATTGAGGTTATGAATCGCAATAGGAATTAGACGATTTTCGTAATAATGAGGTAGCCAAAACAGTGTGTGGTACATTAATAATAGAAACAGCTCAAATGAATTTAGTGATAGATTGAAGCTTTATTTTGATTCCTAGAATTTATATAAAAAGTTTTTACGACCAATGAACAATTCATCTAGAGCATTGTGACTCACGAAAAAATGAAAAGTTCAGAAATTAAAAGAAAAAACCGTTACCTTAAATTCCGGTAGTTCAAGCAACTGGAACGCATTCGCTCTATTTAAAAACTTCGCGAGAGCAATATCTCTTGCAGAATTGATAGCATTCAGTTGTTCATCGGTGGTAGCTGTGGTTGTTAAGTCACGAGATGGCACAATTGGTTTTGTAGTATTAATAGTTGCAGTTGCTGCAGCAGAGGTAGTGGCAGTTATGTTAGTTACTGGATTTTCAACACTTTTACGTGTTTGGCGTACTTTTACTACTTCTCCCGTCGGTAATCTTTTGCTTATTGTCCTAAAAAAATTCAATAAAATAGAAGAAAATGGAGAATAATTAGAGGAATCAAAGCTGAGACAATAAAAGGATTGATTTTAACACCCAAAGTTATCAAAAACCAATAAAAAAGACTGACACGTCGAAATATAAATAAAAGTTTAAAATATGATGTGAATGTTGTGAAGATGCAACTGAATAAGCCTTTGCAGAGAAAAATTTGTCAGGGACAGCCAACCATCAAAAAATTCTTTCTACGGTAAATTATTTTGCGTTGAGAGTATCGTCTACTACAAAGGCATTCAAATGTCGGTCAGGTAGGATAGTATGCTTAGCTCCAACACTGTCCAGGTGTTCCTTCTTTATGCGACTTCATGCTAACTTCGGTTGATTTGTAAAGAAAAAGAGAATGAGAAGAAATTGCAATTATAAATTCTGGGACTTGGAAATTACACTTAAACATTCACCTAACGGATTTTGTTGTATCCAAAGCAGTGGAAACATGAGCATTTATGGGATGATTTCGGACAACGCTTCCACTGACTAAGGATTGAGTATTTAGAAATTTATTCTGTAACGGTGATTTTGATGGTACCAAATCCGATTTCGCGAGACCGAGACGCATTAGCAAATCGGTGTCGACTAAGTTTGATGCTTCATCAGAACCAAAATTAGCGGTTCTATTTGTGTCACCAGTCGTAGCATAATCAACATTCGGATCTGAATAGTAGATAAATATGTCAAATGATGTATTCAGAAAATCATATTTTTTGATTGCCTAGCAGCCAATGAAAGTAAAATATTTTCCCAATAGACGAACAGTAGAGGATGTAACATGGTTATAATAGAAAAAAGGATATGAGAAATGTAGAAAAAGACTATTTTCATTAGGATGTAGAAATTAGACGTTAAGATCTAGTTTTGCAGTTTTGCAGATTGAATTCTAAACTCAAAATAAAATCTAAGAGTGCGGAAAACTATTGTTGTATTTAATGACGGAGAGAATCTCATTAAACTTCAAACAGAAGAAGAGAGGGAAGGGAAAGAGTGAATGACCTGAGGGAATCTTTTTTCACTAAATCTGGAGCAAAAAAACTTTGCTAAACGACAATCTTCATCTGGATGTTTTCTTTCGACCACAGAAATTTTTATTTCCGCTAATCTTTACTATTACGATGCTCATGGTAATTTTTGATAAACTATACTGTGAGAGAGTCAAACATGGAAATCAATAACGCAATGCACTTGGAGAAGAGTAGAAGCAGGAAGGAGAGAGGGGAAATGGAGGACGAATTAATGAGCTTTTATAGAAGTTTGAATCCCAAAGCATAAAATATAGTAGAACAATTTTTTAAAGTTTACTTTTCGTTGCTTCTATATGTACTATGTAAAAAAAAACATGTTTTATAGGGATAATTCTATTGAAATTATCGCGAAGTTTGACATCTAATACGCATAGTAAAAACCAAACTAACATTCTAAGTCCATCGACTGCGTTTGACTTGCTGCAGCCATCTCTATCATTGCTTTGACACGTTCCGTATTAGTCATAGATGTAAAACTTTCGTCTTCAAAACCCCCTGTACTGAAATGTCATACACTTCAAATGAGTTGGACAATTTTCCCACTCTATTAATATCTTTAATCGGTGTCATTCAATAAAGTTAATATGTTAATTCTATGTATGCTTTTAGCTAATTAACAGAGAGAAGCGCTTGATACAAACTTGTCTTACTTCGATATCTTCTCACATAAGAAAATGAAGAAAGTTATTTTTCAGTACATACTTCAGGGATCTTCGCTTCGCTTCCGTCTGTTCTTCTTCCGCGCTACTGATGTTTGTATCTTCGCTGCTGCTTCTGTATGTAAGAAATGGTCATCTAGTTGTTAGATTTTTTAACTGTATGTCAAAAAAAGCCATAAAACTTCTCCTATCAGTGAGAGCATATTCTTTATTCGTTTCCCTCTCTAGATAATTTGCAATTGCCTAGATTATTTCGTTCAATATTCCAAATACAGAATGCCAATCTGGTGTATAAATTTCCGAAAGTCGGGAAGGAAGGGAAAAATCCACTTAATCCTTCCGCTAATCTGTATATTAGTAAGTTAGACTACCTAATTTCAGTTCGTCACTAACTATAATAACTTCCTAACTTAGTTCTGAAATGAGGCATTCAGTGCCATCTTATATCTTATATCTATCGCAAATTTAGTGTAAACTACATGCAGTTTGCACAGGTAGACTGCATGATCAGTTAGAGGTTTAAAAGTGGATACCCGGAAGCTAGTAGCTTGATGAAGTATTTTCTTAGTACATTACAGAAGCTATTTCCCGTAATTGCTTCCCTGCTCTGATATTAGCCTTATTCAACTTATATTGTGATCCAGCACATGATAAGAAATTTTTCAAGAAAAGCACCAATGGATACGATACGCAAACTGTATTTGTTCAACCTGAATAAAAGAATATCAGTAATCTAAGTACATTCTCAATGATTAAAGGAATCATTCATCATTTCTCGATACTAGAGTCTCATTTGTTTGATTTCTCAAAAGGAATCACCTCGTACGAAACTCTATCCTCTTCACCATGAAAAGAATAGTTATTGAAAAGAAGTTGAAGGAAAAGAAATGAGAAGAAAGATGATCATTATATTTGATACCACAAACTAGGATAGTCTGATTTATGGCTACGAGTGGTAATATTAATTTCTAATCAGTTGCTCTAACTGTTTATATGAAAATAAGTTACAAATTATAAACTACTTTTTTGCGGGAGATGAAGGTGCCTGAACCGATTCTGGGATAGGGCTGATTCCCTCTTCCAGACGTTGTCGTGACTCCAGTATCAAAATCAATCGATAATCACTTTTGTGGTGGGCTTTTAAATGCATTTTCAAATTTGTGCTAAATGGTGATGAAGTGCTGAATGGGCAATTAACACACTTCACAGTCTGAAATAAGCAATATTTTGAAAATTTGGATTGTATAGATTAAGCTATACATGGAATATGCAAATAACATAATTAAATTTATTAGATCAAAGTGTTCAAAATTTATGCGAACGAAAATTCGGCAATATTCTGACAAAAACTTCCAATAAGGATTTCCCAATTATTAGAAAGATATGATCATTAGTATGTTACAGTTGGATTATCTGAAATTTATGAATTGTGATAAAAAACGATTCATTGAAAAAGCTACTAACTTTACTGCCATCACCAACATCTTTAAAAAACCGCCATACAGGATGCCTTCGTAAACGCCGCCGTTTTAAAACAATTGCCGATTGGCTACTCGCTGAGGGAGTGATTTTGTCAATCTTGCCACTTGCATAAGTTATATTATAAGATGATGGTGAATCTGTAAAACAGCCTCTTCGTATAATCAGTAACTTCACATGAAAATTAAGGAGAACCTCGAAGTCAAGAAGAGTTTTGTTAGCATGAAAAAAGAGGATATTATTATTATTAAACACCAAAAATTTTGACAAGAGGATTCACATCATGATTGTAACAAATCTGTGATGGTACCTCATCAAAATGGAACTTAGTTATTGGAATTTCCTTCTAATTTAGTGTAGGCAAGTAAATTAAATTTAGAATCTCAATGCTCCTCATTTACGATATTCATTTGCCATGTAAAAATGATGCAAATATATTAAAATAATTTGTATCTAATGACATGATAAAAACAGAAAAAGAATCAAATCGATTGATGAACAAATTTTGAAATATTTATATGTAGAGAGATTTCTGGATACTCAGGAAATGGAAATTAAGCAGAATAGACTAAGATGATGGAGTAATAAGATATGAATAATTGATTATTCCTTTATATTTCCTAACTTACTCTGTGCCATTTTGCTGAATGTTTTCAATCTTTCATTGTCACCAATAAGAGGCGCCTTTGTCTGATTCAATGGAGCAGATTTTACTGAAGCTTCTGAGATAACTTTCAAGAAATCCGGCAAATTCTTCGTGAGATCTGGCGTGGTTTTTAGATAATCCAATGGAAGTTGTGATTCCGAAAATGCTTTTGGGAAGTCCAAAATGCCTCGAGGTGTGGTAGGCAGTGTGTGGGTTCTATTACTTATAGTAGTGACAGCAGTAGTAGAAGTAGGGGTGGTAGTAACAATCGAACCACTTTGGAAGCCACCGGTCTGACTCAGTATACCCAATAGGACTGCAGCACTGCTTAGATTAGACCCCGTATTTGGCAGTCCATTACTGCTAATATTACTACTACTAGTATTACTATCGCCACTGCTACACCTTCCAACTGCCGGTAGGGCAGTAGTTGTTACGTGGTGCATATACGGAGTTTTTGTTGTTGCCGCTGTTGTCGTACGTGAAGCCAGGAGAGAATTTTGGAGAGTAATTTGCTCCTGTTGTTCTTCTTCTGCTTTAAGCACCTACAATTAGATATCGTCTCTAAAAAAACTATTTAGAATTTCAAAAGTTTGATATAACTGTGTTTTAAACCGTCATGCATACCTCAGCCAATTATCGTATTTTCTTTAAGGACTATTAATGTCTCTTCATATTAAGATTTCATCAGTCTCTATAATTCAATTCATTAAACTTCATTAACTACTGACTCGAAATTTATCACACTTTTTTTATAACTCCTGCAGCTTTCTTAACAGAGAAATCTTTAGTTTTTTTTTCTCAGGGTATCAAAACATATCACCAGAAATAAGTTAGTTTCATTTTAGCAGTTATAATGTCAAGCATTCATAAAGTCACGTCTAAAGAAACAATCCAAATTCTGTAAGGACAGTTTTTCGAATTTCTCTATTTCATATAACGGAAGAATAAATTCTGACATCCAAAATCTTGTTCCAAATTCTACTACATCTGTTTTTGGTCCTCCATTCTCGAAAAGCTAATATCCCAGAATTCTTCACTAGATCTCTGATATTTTCCGTAAGAAAGACAAATCTGTTTGATCTAGACAATGCAAAATAACTTCCCTTGTAACCAAATTTATTTTATATTCTAATCTTTTACTTGACCCGGACCCATCTAAATAGTAGACAGTTCGAATTAATAATCATCTTTTTACAATCCAGGCAAGGATTTACGATCCTCTTTCATCGGCTCCAATGCTCTCATAGAGCGTTAGTAAAATTATTCTTTTTTAGGAACCGAAATGTTTAAAATCAAAAAAAAAATCTGATCATTTATATCTTAAAAACTAACCTCTTCAAAGAGATCGTGATGATGTGTCCTTAGATGTACTTTCAGATTAGTGCTGAACACAGATTTTGTACTGTAGTTGCAATGCTTGCATGTTGCTACTCCATCTTTTACTATAAAATATGGCCATACGGGATTTCGACGTTGACGCCTTCTTCGTAATGCCGCAGATAATGTCATATCTGAAAGTTTTGGTGATAATAACTTGCTTAGGGACAGAAATACCGTTATTGCACTGCATTATAACACTATTTATGCGATCGATTATAACAAACTTATCAGTCATAATAAAAGAATAAATATTTTTCAAAGGAATAAACAAATTTCAATAAGAAAATATACCTTTAGAAATATAAGCAGCTGGATTTAAAGAAGTTTGAAATGATTCACTGACATCATAAAAATCGAAATTCTTTGAAACCTTGTTATCCATTTCTTGAAATGATAATTCGGTCTCTCTCTCTCTCTCTTAGAATGAAGATTTTGGAATCACTAAAGATGTAAAAGAAAAAATGGAACATTAGAAAAGAACTCACTACTTTCTCCAAAAATCCTGTCCAGAAATGCGTCATTCTTTGATCTTTCATCATCCTCATCATCACCTACATCATTAGACGAATTGCGTGATGAAGTACTATACTTTGACTTCGTCATAGCAGCCAAACTTCTATCTAAAACAATGCATTAATATTCAATGCGCATGTATTTTTTATCCGCACAGTTGATGAACAACCAGTGATAATGATTATGGCTACTATTAATGGAATCAAAAAATGGTTAATAAAAGGATGTTACGTTTCAGCAGTAACAGAATGAATAAATAAATTATCTAATGAATCCCTGATTAAAGTAGTAAAGCATTAGACAAAAGTCAAATACATAGCAATTAACAGTATAGGGCGCTCTTTCTTCGACCTCTCATAGGTTATACATTAAAAGTAATTTAATTATTACCGACAGCTGTTTGGCCTCCTTCATCGAAGCTATCCTTCGAATAATTTTCAATTTCTAATGGACTTCCTTCATTGGCAATTCGTAAAGCTGTACGACAGGTAACCTGAGAGAGATCTCCTATGCCTCGTACCGTTGATGCTAGTCCCGCGTCTGCAGTTGCTCTCTTTGGACCTAAAGCTATTCTTTTTACTTTCTGAATTGGAAATCTTTCAAATACAAAAAAGACATCTCCGAAATGATTTCAGAAGGACAGAAAGCTCCCACATTCTCTTATATTTCATAAGAGAGCCAAATTTCATAAACATATCACAACATTGTTGCAAAGAGACATTTCTTTTTCATTTCGAAGAAGAAAAATCCATATCCCTGTATCTCGCAGAGCAGCTAAATTGACAAACACAATACTATATACCAGATCAATGAATAGCAGTCTTCCCAACCTCAACATGACAAACAGCGCACTTTCCAGTTCAGCACGCATCTTTGTAGGCTGATATCAAATTCATCGTTTCATCATAGTATTTCATTAAACGGATCAGTAGAATGATTGGAATATGAAAGCTAAATAGGAGTCTAAGTACTGACTGTAACAGGGAATAATCCGAGTACTAACTTCTAAATAGGCTATGATATAAGATGCTAACGAGAGTGAGTAGTAGAAGGTGAGAAATTTGTTTGACTTTGCGTTTGCAATTTCTTCTTCAAATTAGCAATGGATGTCTCGAGCATTTTTGCTTCCCGATTTGGTTTGTGCCGTTGAGTGGCAAATAATTGTGTAAGAAATAAATTATTCCCCGAAGTGCTTGCCGTCCCTTCATCGTTTTCCTCCTCTCCAATATCTGTAATATTTGTTTTCTTCTCATTTTAAATTCATTTCAAGTGACCACATTTTCATCACTGTCAACTATGGTATGAAAGAGTAATACTAAAGTAATATTAAAAGTATGAAACATTCCACAATTTCGAGGAATAAAAGACTAGTAATCAAGTTGCTAAATCAGGATGATCCGAAAATCGGCGAATGTTTTAAAAGGAATGTCGATGGTGTTTTCAATTCCGCACTTCTTCCATTGGTGATTTACTCAGTTCAACTAAATTTGTATGGTTCTACTTCGGTTAAGTTTGTAATTTTGGCTAAAGATAACCCTTTTAATAAATTTACTACACTTTAAATGTAAGAAGTTTTTCAAATTTTTTTTCCTGTTTTATTATTTGATCCGATCTGGATTGTTATCCAAGTCTTGTATTATTGAACAAATTTTACAGAAAAGGAATTGCATAATGGATAATTTAAGAAGAACCTATGAATATCAGAATCTCACCATTAGCAGATTCATTTTCTTCCTTCGTTTCATTCGTACCACCAACACTTGATTCTGAATTAAGTGAAAAATTTGTCACTAAGGAATTGTTAATTTTTGGAAGCAGAAGACAAAAAAGAATCACTATGGAAGTAGTAGATGCAAACAAAATGACTGCACTTACACAATAAATCATCCTATTACTCACTGATAATATTGCAGCTTTTTGTGTTGATTTTTTACTTTGTTCTAAACGGATTTGAGTATTATTAATTTCCGGAAAACTTTAAAACTGCAAATGTCCCTTTACTTTCTTCTACTAAAGGGAATTGACAACAATGGTGGCAGTAATGTAAAAGAAATTAGCAGACGGACAATATTAAAAATCTCCAAAATAATTACCGTCATGATTTTCCACATCCATATCGCAATCTTCTTCATATTCTAAACCATTAGCCTTCGTAAATTCATCCTTTATCATTGTTTTAGTGGAGATCATGACCGAACCAGAAAAGAAATCCGGTTATCTACCAGTTTGTTCCAGCAAATTGAATAAACAAATATCAGCAATCGAATGGAGAAATTAAGACCTAACTACCTCGATTTTTTTGAGCATATAATAATTTCCTCACATTAATTCGGAAATCCTAAAAACAGTATTTTTCATAATTTTACCGTATTATTAGCAAAAGTTAAAATTTAGCGACAGCTTATTTTCTGTCTACTTCAGTAATCACTACAAACATGCATTGAAAGATAATCTGAAGTTAGTGTAATAACTGCACAATTATCAAAAATCTCAAAGACATATATTTACATAAATCTAGGTGAGGACATACACCAACCAATATTTGTAGTGATCGATAACGACGTTTCCGTTATGATACGGTTTACGTAAACCGAAAAAGATGTAAAAATTCTATTGTAAACATTTTCTTTCCGGAAATGTGTAAAATATGTGCAAAACTGTATGCGTTATAATTATAATGGAATATTTTTTTCAGCAAAATTTAACCGGAAGTAAGTAAACTATAGAAGTAAGTAAACTATATATAAACTATAGATAGATAAGCGAATATTTACATAGTACATTAGATCGATATTAATTGAAACAAATGTTGTGCTATAATTAGTTGAAATGTAAATGGTAAAAGCATTCCAGAAATTTTAAAATATTTATCGGCAAAATTTTTTTCCGGATGAAAAAAAAAGCATATATAAACTGTTGCTATTTATTTGTATAGCGAAATTTGAATTTCATAGAGATCAACATAAACAATCATAATAAATTAAATTTTATCTTACTATTAATTGAGGAAATGATAATTATTGATAAATGAATGAAACACTGATAAAAAATAAACATAGAGAATATATAAAATAAACTTTTAAGAAATTCATAAAATTCAAAATAGTGTAGTTTATGATAATGACACATACAAATGGAATGTATGAGTAATCAAATATTATAATTTAGCTAACATAAAAATGATCGAAGAATTTTATTGAAAAAAAGTAATGTTAAAGTTCATAATCGATTCATTCATTCTAATATCTTTCAATGATATACGAAATGAAATATCTAAAATATGAATTTAAATATTAATTAGCTGATAATTGATAATTGTAATAAATAAATTTGTTGTTCTATCATAGAAATAAATTGAAAATAAGAAAATGAAAAAAAAAAAGATTACCTAAAAACAATAGAATAATAAACAAAGTTAAACATTCATCCATCCAACCGCCCGTTCATCCATCAGCCTTCCCTCTTCCATACATCATAAACAAATTTTCTACTGGCGCCAAATTAAATTTTTATACTTTGTTTGATATATATTAATGATAATAAATTGTTAGCTAGAATGATGAATAATAATACTATAAACATTTTATCAATCAATAACTTTAATGATAATGATAGTAGATATTTTAATGATTATTATCATGCATGATATCAGAGCGGTAATTATTTATCAAACTGTGAAATGCATGTTTTTCTTTTCATTGCATTAAAATTTAATATATGCGAAATCATGCAATCATCCTTAATAGTATCCCGATATATTATTATCATTGGTTTTATTGAACCGAGAGTGTGTGATATGTTGAAAAAAAGTAAGGTGAGAATAAACATCCATACTAACAATAATAATCATACTAATAATAATTAGCAATAGTAATAATTAATAATAATAACAGCTAATGATAGTAATAATAAATAGTAATAATAATATAATTAATACTAATAAAAATAATAACTATCAACAATGAATAACTAATAAAAATAGTAACTAACAATAATGATAACAAATAATAATGAT